TTTTATAAGACAAAACCAAATCCAAACTAATAAGTAGCACAATAGCATGACTGTGGGTGGGTGTCTGGAGCATGAGCCCCAACACTCATTACAGTGGGGTGTTGGAAGGCAGGAGACGCATTATCAGCCTGAGTTTCCCTCCTCACTTAGGTAAGAGGCACCAGAATGGAGGTAGGGGCTTGAGGCTCCAGCTGAGTGGAGCACAGTTGGGGCTGGATGCTACTGTGAAAGAAACTGTCACTACCAGCAAACAGGTTAAGACTTCCCTGCCCTGCCACCACCACAGATTTATGTGACGAGTGATGAGTCAAAGCCCTTAATTTGGCACCAACTGTAGAGCAGAGCCTTGATTCCCTTTCCCCCCAACTCCTGCCTCCATTCCAGTGTCCCAGAGTGCTAAGCCTATCAGGTATGAATCTGCTATCCAGGGTGCAAACACTACCAGTTAAACCTCTGAAGAGCCACACAGACAAACAGAAAAAGATCTTCAAAGAATAACGTATATGCAGACTATAACATGGCGCATGCAGAATTTTAGACATTCAGACTCTTAGTTACATCCCATAGCAGCAGCGAAGAATCATAGCTTCATAGATTCATAGATGTTAGGGTCGGAAGGGACCTCAATAGATCATCGAGTCCGACCCCCTGCATAGGTAGGAAAGAGTACCCCCAGGGTAGGGGAGAGCATCACCTCCCTTGGCAGCCCATTCCAGACCCTGGCTACTCTAACTGTGAAGAAGTTCTTCCTAATGTCCAATCTAAATCTGCTCTCTGCTAGCTTGTGGCCATTATTTCTTGTAACCCCCAGGGGCGCCTTGGTGAGTAAAGCCTCACCAATTCCCTTCTGTGCCCCAATGATGAACTTATAGGCAGCCACAAGGTCGCCTCTCAACCTTCTCTTGTGGAGGCTGAAGAGGTCCAGGTGCCCTAGTCTCTCCTCATAGGGCTTGGCCTGCAAGCCCTTAACCATACGTGTGGCCCTTCTCTGGACCCTCTCCAGGTTATCCACATCCTTCTTGAAGTGCGGCACCCAAAATTGCACACAGCATTCCAACTGCGGTCTGACCAGCGCCCAATAGAGGGGAAGTATCACCTCCTTGGTTCTGTGCGTCATGCATCTGCTGATGCATGAAAAGTGCCATTAGCTTTTCTGATGACTTCGTCACACTGATGACTCATGTTCATCTTGGAGTCCACTAGGACTCCAAGATCCCTTTCCGCTTCCGTGCCTCCAAGCAGGTCATTTCCTAGGCAGTAGGTATGCTGGACATTTTTCCTCCCTAGGTGTGCATCACTTTGTGTTTCTCATTGTTGAATTGCATTCTGTTGTTTTCCGCCCATATGTTCAACCTGTCCAGGTCTGCTTGTAGTTGTTCCCTGCCCTCCGGCGTGTCCACTTCTCCCCACAGTTTTGTGTCATCCGCAAGCTTGGACAGAGTACACTTCACTCCCTCGTCCAAGTCACTGATGAAGACATTGAAGAGTATCGGTCCAAGGACCGAGCCCTGCAGGACCCCACTGCCCACACCCTTCCAGGTCAATACCGACCCATCCACTACGACTCTCTGGGTAGGACCCTCTACCCAATTCGCCACCCACCGGACTGTGTAGTCATCCAAGTCACAGCCTCTTAACTTGTTCACCAGTATGGGGTGGGATACCATATCGAAGGCCTTCCTGAAGTCTAAGTAAACGACTAAGTTGTTCTAAGTTGTTCTCAGTTGAAAAATATTTCTGCTTCTTGTTCTTCCAGCCTTGATACTAGGGTCCCATATCACAAACTAATTTCATTGCGTATTGCAGCCTACCCCCTCTTAGGCATGTTTCACATCTTGTTGTACAGCACTTCCTATCTGAGTGCCTGCCTCAGATCTTCCTAACAAACAATGAGGCATTTTCTGGCCACTTCCCACCCAAAATGTTCCTGACTGCTGAACTTTAGAGATGTTATACACCTGCTGCCCAATGCATGAAGTGCTCTGATGTTGAATTTTAGTCACAACTATTATTTTTAACTGACTGGTAACTTGCTGTCTTAAAAGGTTTAAACCTTTAAGGCATTTTTGAACCAGCTTTGAGCTAGCATTTTTTAAGGTCTACCATCTTTCTCTCTTTTTCCTTCAACGTATGCATCAGCAGACACACAAGAATAAATATGAGAGAGTGGGAATACACCAATTTTAAATGGGGAATAGGCTCTTTGAACTGACCAGATTAGTATTCTTCCCATTTTTGCAATTGTATGCATAAAAATTGCATTTCTTGTCCTTGAAAATGTAACCCTTTCTTTCCTGTTAGAGTAGCTTGTCTGAGGGAGGATGATTCAGTCAGATAATATTTGTATGTCTCAAAGGTGAAATCAAGTCCACTGAAGAGAGCCAGTTCCAGGCCTTTTACATTGCTTTTGCCATAGATGTGGCTATCTCACAACTATGCAACTGGATAGAGGTGCCACTTCAGTCTTCTGCAGTATGAAAGAAGGTTTTATGTTTACCAGAATAATCTAGCATGGAGGAAACTGGTGGATATATCAAAGGATAAGGGCCACAAAATCCTTGTGGCAGTAGTGCCCCAACACCCTTTGGGGCAAGTGGTATAGAAGGATTGCAGCTACCACTCTGATCTGTAGGCTGAATCATAGGTGGCCAATAAATGGCATAGGCAGCCTCTGTTTGTAACACACAGAAGACTGGGGAGTGGGCAGGTAGCACAGTGGCAGATAGGGAAGGAAGCAGAAACAGAGCAGCACATTGGACAGGGAGCACAAGATGGGGAACAGAAAGCAGAGAAGCAGATTAGCCAGGGGAAGGGGATCACAGTGGCACTTGGGGAGGGGACGGTGCTAATTTCTAGCATTCCTACCAAAAAGGCTAGACTTCACAGAGCAAAACAGTGGCTACCTTGTAGGTATGTAGGAAGCACTTTTCACCCTCCTCCTTCTTCTCCCTCAATATTTATGCTTCACTTGCATGATAGTGCTAACTCATTTGTTGTATATGGGAAACACATTTCTGAAGCGTTTTGTTTTTACAACATAGAAGTCCCAAACTCCTTGCTTTGCAAATGGGGCAGATCTTTACCAGGCCAATTCAGAATTGGATAAAATGGCAAATCATTGTAAAAAACCAAATAGAATTTTATTGTCCCAAACTTGGAAATCTGCTTTCAAAAGTATTATGCACAAATCTAAGATAATTAAATGAATTAAAAATACTCCTGTGCCAGGTGTCCGACTCTTCCTGGAGCAGTGGGTTTGGGTGTGATTTTTTTCTGCTGATGGGGGAATCAGTTGTAAAATGGTTTAGATCCTTGATGCCCCTAGGATCTGGGGGAGTGCTTGGGCTTCTGGTTGTGAATTAGGTTCATCCTATCAATAAATATGAACATTTTGAAAAAAAAATCTTTTTTTTCAAACTAAAATGATGCATGTATAAGCTGGGAAAAGGGAAGGGAGCAAGTATGTCACCAGGAAATTTGAGAATCCAGAGAAACAAATATGTAACCCCAAAGATTAACACTACCTTTTATGATTTAATAATACTGTTTATTTCTCTCCTTATCATACTGACCAAATATGTGATAGGTAAATCAAGGTCATGGAGCAAACTTTTTAGGTAGGAGTTTATTCCCATTTCAAGTTTAGCTAAATATTGCAACGGCATTACTGTAGTCCTTCACTCCCATCAGATTCAAAACATAATGTAAGCTTTATCCTTTCGTTTTCTTGTCTTTTAACTTTTCAGCCAGTTTACTTTTCAGCAGTTTGACTGACCTTTTTGCATTTTATATTTTTTCTGGTCTACATTTTACTTAAATATTTATTTATAAAGTTTACTGTGATAGTTGCACGAAAATGTTCCAGTTTTATTTTGTTTTTATGTATTTTGGTTTTAAACAAATGGCAGACATTTCAAACTGCTCCAAGGATTGAAATATTACAGGTAACTCTAGTCTACTTGTGCATCTGGGGGGACAGCAGAACTAAGAAGATGAAATGCATTTTCTACCAGTATTGCCAAACCCAGGCATTCAAAACACACAAGTCAGAACCTCTTCATTGTGAGATGGGGTTAAAATTTTACTGTAGTTAGTATTACATTTGTCAATCTTTAGGGTTCATATTTTCAAGACTTTTCCCCCTAGCTCTAAAGGATAGACTTCCCAAAGAAAGAAAGAAACTGAGGTTCTTACTTAACGACCTGACCCTGGAGCTGAGGCTGTAAGAGAAACATGGAGCTTTGTGAGCATTGTACAGGACACTGTACATGACAATAACATTTTTATAGAACCTGACTTTGAAATACATACTCTTGAATATTCTCACTGGTAATGTCAGTCTAAGTGTCATATTTGCCCAATCAAAGTATAAATATGTGATCTCTATGTCCAGTCAAAAAAGTTGGAAGTTTGAGTTGCAAATACTGCATGGTCAAATCACAAATCATAATTAAAGCTTGTTGGGAAATTTTCTGCCAACACTGTTTTTCACTGAATAATCGTAAAGATAGATAAATGCATAGAAATGTTATGTGGAAAATGGTCTGTTTTCAAGAAACCTTACTGAGAGTAAAATGATTGCAAACATTGCACATGCTGGAATGTGCGTCTCTGCATAAAACAGTTGAATGTTTCTGAACAGTGAACACATTTTTGAAAATCATGTTCTGTTCACAGTCAGTTTGCTAAATTAGGCTGCAGTCCTGATAACACTGGTGCATACGAGTAATTTTCTACAAATGAGTAGTTCCATTGAGTTCAGTATGACTACTCATGTACGCAGACTTAAGCACATGCATGAAGGTTGGCAGGATTGAGGACTTAATTTGGCAAATAAGTTGTCAGCTGTGAAGAGCTTGCATAGCTCTTCTTTTAACCCTGTAATAAATTCTTGGCTCAGAATAATTTTGAGTATTCACTGCTTCTGGATATCTGAGGTTACAAGCTGTTCTCTTAAAACACTGGGTCTAATTGAGGCTGTTTCTTTTATTTTGTCTTAGCAACAAGAGCAAGACCCTACAAATCTATACATCTCAAATTTACCGATTTCTATGGATGAGCAGGAACTGGAGAACATGCTGAAACCCTTTGGACATGTCATTTCTACCAGAATATTAAGAGATGCTAATGGAGTCAGCAGAGGAGTCGGCTTTGCCAGGTGAAACACTTGCTTTATTTGATTTATGTTTTTTTTTGACATCAGCTTTGGCCCTTTACAGATGCTGTCTTCTCTAAAGCCATATAGCTAAGAATATGCAAAGCAGTAAAGAGACCTCAGCTTTATCAGATTGTATTGTCTGTAGTTTCCACTGATACGAAGCATACCAATGTAAAAGGAAAAGGCAATCAGGACTCACAGTAGAGATGATATCATTTATTAGACCAACAAGATTTTTGCAAAGGAAGTTTGTTTCACTGGTCTAAAATGTGTTCATTATGCTTTATATGTGTGGGTGTACTCCTTGCAGTGTGTGTGTGTGTGTGTGTGTGTGTGTGTGTAAATTGGCATAAAAATTGCAAGGAATATTGAGCTGTCCATGGAGTATCAAGCTTAGATAATAATAAATGTCCTATAGCCAAAAGCATACATGTAGTGAAAAAGGAATGCAGCAGTTTACCGAAGATTTCATAATGGGGAAAGTTAAATTTATAAGCAAAAAGATCAGAGGGAGGAAGTGCATCTGAATACCTGGAAGCCCCAAGGATTGTGTGCCTGTCAGAGGAAGACAGGAGGACTATTTTCATTTAAGAAACCCTGGCTGAATAATTTGATTCATTAGAAAGATAGAACCCACCTTATTGTACTTTGTGGCGTTGTAAGACAAGAAAGAAGTTTCCATTTTAACTATAGGGAAATGTTTGCAGAGGGCTCAATCAGTGAAGAACAGTGTTAAACCGAATAGGTTCTTGACAAAAAAATAAGGAATGGAGAAGTGCATACAAAGGTGTAGGAAAGGAAAGTGGGGAAAAAAAACCCACTTGATATCAAATTATGCTGTAAATAATTGAATCTTCTGTTTCAAAAGAAAAGCAAAAATCACTCTGCTTACAGAACATTTATGATACTGTACTTTTGAAGAGCAGGCAGAATGATGACTCTGTTATCTCATGAATTCCCTGCAATACATTGTATCTTGGTATATCATGGCACTTCTCACAGTGCCATAACACTGTTGAGTAAAATGGGGTGGCTGTGTGATAGAGGCAGCTTGCAAGATAACTGAAATTGTAATGTTACCTTTGTCCTTGATATAAAAGATCATCATACACAAGGAAATGTTAAGATAATACTGTCTGAATTCAAAAGCTATTAGACAAAGCATTCAGGCTGAAGGATGACACATCATTCTTTCTGCAGTCTCTCATTTAATAGTGTTAGTTTGACTTAACCAAAAAAAAAAAGCTAAATATAGATCAGTGTAATTAGATGATAAACCTACATTTTAAAAGTTGGCCGTGTTCTTCGTAATGTGTGTGATTAATTAAAAAAAACCTCTATATTAGTGCAATGAAGGTTATAGGGTTAAGCACATGAGAACAGGAAGGCTGAAATCACTGCTTCATTGAAGTCCATTACAAAATTCACATTGAGTTGAATGAGGCCATGACTTCTTACAAAATGCATAAAAGGCAAAAAAAAAGCTGAATCTTAACTCTGCCTTTGTACTGCTAACAATTCCAATACAAACTTTAATTACATGATCACATGATCTTTCTCTCATAACAAAGCACTATTCAGGGTCTTTCATTTATAAATGTGTCTCTGTATATAGATGAATTAATTTGTTGTTGCTTAGAAGTAGGTTGACCATACATCCCGGTTTGGCCAGGACAATTCTGGATTTCATAGGCTGGTCCTGGCTGGTTGGTCAGAAGTGCCAGAGGAAATGCAGGGGCACGGGCACAGTCTGGCAGGGAGGTGGAGCAGTATGGTAGTCTGGGCAGCTCCACTTCCCCACCGGACTACATCTACACCTGCACTGGCTCTGCTATGGCCTGCAGCAGCACTGCTGACTTAGGAGGTGGGAGGAGGGGTGTGTCCCAGCTTGCCCAGATTTCCTTAAAACTAATGTGGTCTCCCTACTTAGAAGCATGCTAGGTGCACCTATCACCTCATAATATATGAACACAGTAGATATGTATGAATATAGGACAAAACAAGGTGTCAGTTTTACTTGTATGTAGTGTCCGTGGTCCTCATGCTTGTGAGTTACTGTAAGGCGTCCTAAAGCTGATTTAGCTGGAAAGATTGCTTCTGTCTAGGGGAATGTCTGGGTGACATGAAGCCATCATGATGCCTCCCATGCTGCTTCTGTCCTCTGATTTACCAGGGCACAAAGCTGAGGAAAGCAATTTAGCCAGGAGATCTGGCGATTCCCAACTGACCAGGGAAAAATAAACATAGCTTAAAATTTCATCCATTTTCTTCAGCTAGGGCTGGTGATCTTGGTCTTTATGTATTTGTATACATGGTATTTATTTTGTTAGCCAGATCTATGACTGTAGAGTTGCATGATTGTAGAGTTGTTATATGTGTTGCAGCTTCATGCCAGAAATGTAGTTGAAGTGGTTTACTTTGCATCCACTGAAATGACTGGTCTTCTGGCAGTTTTGAAGATTGACATAACAGTCATTTTTAATTAAGCCCCCAGAGGTATAATTATTATACTATGATACTTAAACTTCTAATAAAAAAAAATGTTTTAGGTTCAGTCCAAAGAAGTCGATGATCAGAAGAAGTATTTTTAAGCCATAGTTTTGCTTCCTTGATTGAATGCAAATTACTGGATCTCTTGCTTACATAATGTTTTCTATGCTGTGCATTTATGATGCTGAAAAGGACAGAAATAGCCCAGGAAGCACCATGATAGTCAGAAAATTTGCTCAGAAAGCAACCAGAAGTAAAAATTTATACTGATCAGTTATTGACTGCTTTTCTTTGTAACTGTTTAAGTTTAACATGGCTGCTGCATTGTATTATAGGTGGCAATTTAATGTGTTTTGGGTCAGATTTAACACAGTACTATCTGGCTACATGTAAAGATAATCTGTGCCTAATTTATGCATCTGTACAACTATAAATACTTTGTTTAAGGTAGAAAAATATATTCCTGCACTTTTGTTTACCTTGAAAGCACCTGAACAGATTGTCCTAAAACTTCCCATAAAGTTCCATTGCAGCTTGACCGAGGCTGTCTACACATATTCAAATAACCTGTGATAATTCTCTCAGGTTTGTTTTTATGATAGAGAAACTAACCCAGCGCCACATGTACAGACATTCAAATGCTGAGGCCCTGAAGAGTGGAGAGTTTGCAGTGCTAACACTGTCAAGCCAGGGGGTTCCTGTATACACCTCTCAGTGTGCTCTGCAGGCTTCCTTAATCTGCCTGTCAACAGATGGTAGCAATGCATAGGGCAGCCCTGATTGGCTAGCTCAGACTGCCCATGGTCAGTGTGTGTTGTCAGCATGTACAGACATTCACTGTCCCAGGAGAAACTCTCCTGGAAGTGATTTAACCCTGGTTGTTCCCAGGTTATTTTGTCTCTTGGAGCAACCATTTTTACTCTGGGAGGAAAAAACCTGAACTTCTCATGGTTTCTCCTCCCAGGAGAAAGGGAATGTCTGTATGAGGCCAAGTGTGCACAGTTATACCCTCAAGGGATATTTTGTGAGGAAAGTTATAAGCAAGGAGACAGAAGAGCTTTAAAACTGTAGCTGTGGCTCCATAAAAGTTATTTCCACTGATAATGAATCAGTAGACCTTTTAGGTATCCTGGACAGTGCTATATACTTCAAAAATAGTGATTCCTGGTTCTAGACTCTCCAACAGACCAGGGTTGTGATTCTCCCATTTTTGTAATTCTGCAGGAAGTGGGGGGAGGGGTGGCCATAGCCTTTGGAACCCAGGAAGTAATACATCCTATAACTTGAAAAATTGATTTTTTATTAAAAGATACATTTCTAAACCTCAGACTTGAGGACATTGATCAGAAGACATTATAAGGCCTTAGAAACTAGAAACCAAAGGAAAAGATCCCCAAATCAATGGGAAATGATATTTTTAAAATATACCACTATTTTAAAGCTAAATTTATGATCTTTACTGGATTCTAATCCAGGATTTTTGTACACTTGAAACTGGAAATTTTATTCATCAGAGAAGAGATAGGAATAGAAGGAGAGAGAGAAAGAGAGGGTGGGTCCATGAGAGAGAAGTTGTTGTTTGGACAGTTAAAAGCATGGAGTAAAAATGTTAATGGTGTCTGGAAATGAATGGATAGGTAGTGGAATTGCATAAAGTTGAAATTAATGTAACATTAGAATTTAAATACATATGGAAGAAACCACACTCTGGGGGCATCTGAGGACCTAGCTCCAAGTACTTATAAATACATACAGTAATTACGGCAGAAAAGATGAAGTTGTGATATGGACAGGTGGCATCAATTCAGTGCTCTATGACCAAATAGTGGTAAGCATAATTAAAGATATATACAAAAGGATATGTGAAAAAAAGAGTTTAGAATCAAAGATGATGCCACACTGGAAGCCAAACAAAATCTGTTTCAGAAAGAGATTGAGAAGATCCAGTTATTTCCGGATGGTTTTGATAACTTGGGCCCTGACTCCAGACCCCTGACTTGGCCTGTGACTTGGATTGTGCCTCTGGAATTCTGGATCACTTCCCCCACCCAACCTGGATTTGACTCCCCCAGCTCCTGTCTCTTGCCCTCCCTTGGAGGCCTACTGCTCCAGACTACTTACAACCCAGTTCTTACACACTCAGATGTCAAATCCTGATCCCATTGGATCAAAAAAGAACCTAAAATTGAGTCCTAAAACTATTGTATGAAAACCCACTGGATACTTTTGTTAAATAGTTGCTCCTCAACTAAGATCATTTTATTTCTCATGTAAATAATATGAAGCTTTGCTTTTTTAAAAGTCATGTTTAAATGTTCTACACTATAGATTGAACAGCATATCAAGCTTTTTAAAGGTCCTTTTGAATAGTCAAGTATAAAAACAGTGTTAGAAACCACTAACTTTTTTATTTTATTTGCTGTTTGTAACTTAAAATGACCTTGCAAGATTCATCCCCCCCTCCCCAAGTGACATTTCACAGCAAATTCATAAGCCTCTAAAAACAAAAT